TGACTTTGCCACTCTTGCCACTGTTGTGATTGGTGCTGACTCTGTAGAGCCCCTTTAAAGACCAGGGTGTACTCAGCTCAAATTAAGTCAGGCCTACCCAACTACCAGACTCGGCACTGAATGATCCTGAATTCACCAGTAGATCAGACCATACTACCCGTTTTCAAGGTGTGTGTCAGATCGTATTACACAGTACGGTAAAGTCTTGAAAATTTCGTCGTTCTTGAAAATTTCATCGGCAGACGATTTTCCGCCGACGTAATTTTTTTCCCTTTGAAAACTTCGTCGACCTTGAAAATTAGGTACTCGATAATTTTTGAAAAGTTCGTCACCAAATATGGCCGCGTTGTCCAGCTCAAACATGAAGGTAATGCGTCAGTTGATTCAAGACAATGATACGATCAGGATATCATTGCCGATAACACTCTCAATGGGAGATAAGAACAATAGTGCACCCTGCGAGCGGTTACTCACAATATAGATGGTTTAGATGTGAATTCCCGTTCTCAATTGCGGGAACGTCGGCCTTTTGTCTTTAGTTGCATTACTATTACCTGGCTTAAGGTGCGTTATCAAGCCGGCAAATAGAAGTCACAGGCTGCGGCTTTGTCATTTGTAACGCCGTTATTGTTATCGGCGGCTGTCCTAAATGAGGAAGACACAATGAAAAAATCAAGATATTATCTCAAAGTGAAATGTACCCGTCACTTCTGTTCATGTCCATGTTCAATTTAAGATCATTTAACGATTACCTGGCTACTGAAAAAGAACAAGTAAATTTGCAACGATTTGCACTGTTACTGTCGGGAAGGCTTGGATTTGCCAAAGTAGAAAAAGAAATCTAACAAAATGACACTGCAAACGTCCTGCAGTCGTATAACCTCACTAGTAGTAAACTGTTGGTACTTTGCCCAATAAGTCAATGATTTCTTAGTGAGAAAAAACTGGCTGAAACACACTGTGCTTGGAGCAACATGGCAGCAGGTCCCACTGGGTGTTTATTCTTTGTTACAAGATCTCTTTCTCCACTGATCCTCTCTCTTTCTCCCCCCCCCCTCCTTGTTACTCTCTCCCTGCGGCATGCACATTTGCATACACATACACACACATTCTCTCATAGAGTACACACACAAATAAAAAAAAAAATTCTGAAAAAAGGAAACAGGACATTTTACATTTTATGTCTACAGTTAAGTTGCACATGGGTGACATACCTTTAAGTCTAAATGTACCACATTCCTGTCATGTAGAAATACCAGCCCTTCCATGATCTGCCGCATTAGGTGTATTACCTCCTTCTCTTTGAATGATTCTTCTTCATCAATGTGGTGAAAGAGTTCCCCGCCTGCAGCACTGGGGAAAAAAATAATTAAAAATTGTAAAGGATGTTTGTTATCACTTTGACCCAAGGTACAAATTTATGGGTATAAAAGTATTATGACTTTTTTACTTGCAAATTTACCTAAGGTACTTAGCAAAACAAATAAAATCAGACTGTATGTGACTGAATCTTCATGAAACAGGAAAAATAAATTGTTCTAAATATTTAGCAAAGATAAATAAAAAAATAAAAAAAATATACATGAATAAATAAATACAATAATGAACAAGTAAATGAAAGAATATATGAAAGAAAGAATTAAGAAAGATAAAACATGTTACGAAGCTGGAATGTTGGTCAAATACAACATGATAATCTCGTAAAACTGACACAAACACCATAATGAAGACTTTGAAATGAAACAATGAAACGGACATAAAAACTGGAATAAAATGTGTTAGAACTCATGAGGGTGCATCTGAGTGTCAGAACATCAAACGAACCGACAGACATTCCTCAACAAAAATGACACGAGACCATGACCGTAAGGGTCAAATCAGGGGAATTATAGACAGACTATCAACAGATACTATCTACGATACGGTATTTACTTGCGATTTTCACACATTTCCCTTTTACTTATTTTTCTTAAATTTATACAAGACTTAAAGTTTCAGTGCAGGGAGGAAGTAACCAAGGAAATAATTCATGTTGCCTAGATTTATAAAGTGATTACCGTAAACCAAGTGAATGGGCCTCTGATGCCAAAATGTCACCAGGGGGTCACCTCACAGCTTTGAAGAAGATGACCCCGTCTGACCGTACTTGACCCCCTGGTAACTACAAAAGTTTCACATTTCCTGGATTTCACTCCACATCTCTCTCTCTCTTTTTGGTGAAAATCAATGAACAAAAACCACAATGGCAGTGACTGACACTTGTTCTTGTAGAAAGTACATGGAGGTTAAGCACACTGGTATTCCCTTAAAATGATAAACGCTTGTGGCACATTTTGTAAATTGTGGTCCATGGGCAAAACTTTTCACACATTATGTCTTTTAAGTTGAACAAATCACTGAATGCTCTTGGCACGTACTCTGTCTAACACACACAAGCAAGTATGCTGACATAACTTTATAGACTATACCTTCATTTTTTTTTCTTTTTTTTTTTCATAATTTTGAGACCAAAAACATATCCTGAAGTTGAGAGTCTTAAGTGGCAGCAATCATCTACTAAAATGCATACAGGAACAAAATGGAGTCAATTGTGAATTAAACANGGGGGGGGGGGGGGAGAAGAGAGAAGGGGATTACTCCAGCCCTGAAAAAGACCTTTATTAAGACAGTTTATCTTGAGTAGGCACTTGAATTGAACCGTCCCAGGGCACGTACCAGCAACACACTGTCACTGCAGCTGTCTAGCTGGAACACTTGGATTTCCACATCTCACTTAGCCGTCCAAGACTACCTTTAAGAGCGTTTAGATGTTATATCAAATTGCCCCCAGCTTACATTCCAGTCAAGGGCTGTTAAGTCTTTCAAAAAGAGTTTCGACTTTTCGAATCAGGAGAACATTGCTTTGGTTAAAAGAGTATAAATTCTTGAAGAGTTTAAAGTTTCATGAATCCTTTTAGCAGGGTCCATTAATACGAGGCACCTTACAACCTGCGGCCTTCTTCAGTCAAGTTGTTTTCAACTTTTTTCCAACATCAGTAAATCTAAATTTTTGTTAAGTCATGATAGCTTTTCTCCAACCATAAAAAAACTAACCCACACAAAGCATTGTTCAAAACTAGTTTTAAAACGTTGCATTTCTTCTTTAAATGTCTTCAACATTGAGAAAAAAAAATTTATAAAATGTATCATTTTTCACCCTGTCTTCAGCATCCATCTTAAACTTGTAGCTGAAATTAAACACACACTGTTGTTAAAGCGGCCACTTTTCTTTTATTTTTGACCGGTCATTCATAACACACAGTATAGGCCAGAGGGAGGTCAAACTAACTGCCAACTGACACACAAAACAACAGAAGCTACTGCTACTTATCAAATATTTTTCCAAGTGCAGTAATAACTGAACGACTGACCAGTAACTGAAAGAGTGGCCGCTGTCCATGCTTGGGGATGTGTGGGATACAACACATATGTAGAACTGGACAAAAACCATCAGACAATAAAAAGCCATTTGTATCAGTAACATATCTACATGTACATGAAATATAGCACTTTATAATGTACTGGAGAGCAAACAATCCTATATGTATGTTTTTATATTTTTCTGCTGTTCTCTCTCTCACTCTCTCTCTGTCTCTCTCCCAGCACCCGTTTTATGAACCATGGAAAACAAAGGCCAAACAGTCCCCAGGCAGTAAACAAAGGGCAAACATTTCGATGGTGATAAAGCTTTTTATGACTTTGCCACTCTTGCCACTGTTGTGATTGGTGCTGACTCTGTAGAGCCCCTTTAAAGACCAGGGTTAACTCAGCTCAGATTAAGTCAGGCCTACCCAACTACCAGACTCGGCACTGAATGATCCTGAATTCACCAGTAGATCAGACCATACTACCCGTTTTCAAGGTGTGTGTAAGATCGTATTACACAGTATCATACCCTGAACAAATTTTGAGTGGTGATGCAATGCTTTTCAACCCCGCTGAGAATCGTCACTATCACATCGCGTACTAGGCAAGAGCGGTGTCACGTCTGATACTGAGTAATGCGAACTGACACACACCTTGAAAACGGGTAGTGTGGTCTGATCTACCGTTGAATTCAGGATCATTCGGTGCCTAGTCTGGTAGTTGTGTAGGCCTGTAAGTCACCCAGGTTGGGGTGTTGTGGTCAAGAACTGAGAATAATGGAAAGCTGAGATTTGAAAAGTCAGGGAACACAATGTGATCTATCATTATAGCAGAGAGCAGAGAGTCAGACACTTGCAAATAACAATTACAGTCGTTAACATTCTTTGATTTTGCTACATTTTGTCCTCCCGGTTTTTTTTTTTTTTTTTTTTTTTTTTTTGTGAAGTCTTACTGACAGTTATGCTCAAAAAACATCACAAAAACAATTATGAAAACAACATCATCAAAATGCAATACTTCATACCAGGTCTTATTATATTAATAAACCAAAAGAAAAAAAAAAATTAATAAAAAATTGCCAAGTTTTAGGGAGAAAAAAAAAAAGGGAACACGTAGAGCACAAGTAAAAAAGCCTACTGAAAAAGAACAAGTAAATTTGCAACAATTTGCACTGTTACTGTCGGGAAGGCTTGGATTTGCCGAAAAAGAAATCTAACAAAATGACACTGCAAACGTCCTGCAGTCGTATAACCTCACTAGTAGTGAACTGTTGGTACTTAATTTGCCCACTAAGTCAATGATTTCTTAGTGAGAAAAAACTGGCTGAAACACACTGTGCTTGGAGCAACATGGCAGCAGGTCCCACAGGGTGTTTATTCTTTGTTACAAGATCTCCTTCTCCACTGATCCTCTCTCTTTCTCTCCCCCCACCCCCCTCCTTGTTACTCTCTCTCTGCGGCATGCACATTTGCACACACATACACACACATTCACTCATAGAGTACACACACACAAATAAAAAAAAAATTCTGAAAAAAGGAAACAGGACATTTTACATTTTATGTCTACAGTTAAGTTGCACATGGGTGACATACCTTTAAGTCTAAATGTACAACGTTCCTGTCGTGTAGAAATACCAGCCCTTCCATGATCTGCCGCATTAGGTGTATTACCTCCTTCTCTTTGAATGATTCTTCTTCATCAATGTGGTGAAAGAGTTCCCCGCCTGCAGCACTGGGGAAAAAAATAATTAAAAATTGTAAAGAATGTTTGTTATCACTTTGACCCAAGGTACAAATTTATGGGTATAAAAGTATTATGACTTTTTTACTTGCAAATTTACCTAAAGTACTTAGCAAAACAAATAAAATCAGACTGTATGTGACTGAATCTTCATGAAACAGGAAAAATAAATTGTTCTAAATATTTAGCAAAGAAAAATAAAAAAATAAAAATAATATACATGAATAAATAAATACAATAATGAACAAGTAAATGAAAGAATATATGAAAGAAAGAATTAAGAAAGGTAAAACATGTTATGAAGCAGGAATGTTGGTCAAATACAACATGATAATCTCGTAAAACTGACACAAACACCATAATGAAGACTTCTCAAAGTCTCTGAGGTCATAACAATGAAACGGACATAAAAACTGGAATAAAATGTGTTAGAACTCACGAGGGTGCATCCGAGTGTCAGAACATCAAACGAACCGACAGACATTCCTCAACGAAAATGACACGAGACCATGACCGTAAGGGTCAAATCAGGGGAATTATAGACAGACTATCAACAGATACTATCTACGATACGGTATTTACTTGCAATTTTCACACATTTCCCTTTTACTTATTTTTCTTAAATTCATACAAGACTTATAGTTTTCAGACACTTACAACAACGTATCTCTGATTCAAAAACCAACAAACCTTTCAATTGTACTTAAGAATCAGCATTTTCAAGCATTACTGACAAAACCAGCTTTGTAGAGGACAGGGAGGAAGTAAGCAAGGGAATAATTCATGTTGTCTAGATTTATAAAGTGATTACCGTAAACAAAGTGAATGGACTTCTGATGCCAAAAATGTCACCAGGGGGTCACCTCACAGCTTTGAAGAAGATGACCCTGTCTGACCGTTCTTTACCCCCTGGTGACTACAAAAGTTTCACATTTCCTGGATTTCACTCCACATCTCTCTCTCTCTTTTTGGTGAAAATCAATGAACAAAAACCACAACGGCAGTGACTGACACTTGTTCTTGTAGAAAGTACATGGAGGTTAAGCACACTGGTATTCCCTTAAAATGATAAACGCTTGTGGCACATTTTGTAAATTGTGGTCCATGGGCAAAACTTTTCACACATTATGTCTTTTAAGTTGAACAAATCACTGAATGCTCTTGGCACGTACTCTGTCTAACACACACAAGCAAGTATGCTGACATAACTTTATAGACTATACCTTCATTTTTTTTCTTTTTTTTTTTCATAATTTTGAGACCAAAAACATATCCTGAAGTTGAGAGTCTTAAGTGGCAGCAATCATCTACTAAAATGCATACAGGAACAAAATGGAGTCAATTGTGAATTAAATAAAACACAAAGTTCAACACCTCCGGAGACGTCTCACTTCCTGTCTTCTCACTCAGATCATTGATGAAATGTGTACATTAAAAGAGAAAGCATGGTGGTGCACATCTGTATATTATAATGTAAAACATACATCAGAACAATGCCTAAGGACGCATTAAAAAAAGATGATCCGCAGACTAACTGACCGCTGACTAAATATGGCTGACCCCACTTAAAAAGCGATGCCGCTAATTCCCTGATGGTCTTCCCGCCTCCACATTGGCCGCCACTGCAGAGGCCTAGCAATCAAACCTCGGAGAAGGGATTTAATTTGTCATGCTTTTCCTTTTAATGTACACAATTAGCCTAACAACGAGTACACTGGGACCCATAAGAATCAGATTTAAAATTGTTTTTTAATACTAGTAAATAAACAAGGAAGAAATTGAAGAATGAATGGCAATATTGATATTGACCTTAAGAAAAAGATCAAAAATGCCAGGAAACTTCTTTTTATGAACTGTAGACTGCCAGCAATATGCCTATTTTATCTTTTTAAGTTCTTTTATTTATCAATTGTGTACTATAAGATCAGTCTTGCTGTATTACAACACCCTGCAGGAGAGAGAAACATTTGTATAGGAGCAGAAAAACCTAACTTCAAACACACTGCAGTGCAAGAGGAAAAAATTTGCCTTTATCTCAGATACACCGGAAATGGCGGAATTCAGATAATCTGGAGAAATGCTATAAATATCTTAGGGTTGGTAACCACGACTTTCTACTTAGAGCTCCCCACAGCTTCCATAGACGGTTCATCTTCAGCTGCGTTCATATCAGTTTCAGTTGTAAACTTGGCCTCAAGACATACCAACCAATTGACCAGTAATACTTTTGGCTGATGCCATTTAACACACTTTTTTTTTCTTAATATTTCTTTTAAAGTAAATGTACTTTATTTTTCCTCAACTTTAATAACTATGTGTTTCATACCATCAAAACTGCAGCTAGAACATTACAATTCCTGTGCAGATCATAAAAATATATTCCGACAGTTTGTCACCCATTTTTTTTCCAAAGGGCCACCCCAGACGACAGAATCAATTGACAGTTTTTACTTTTAGTTAAAAGATATGTAAACATGACCTTCCAAACCTGAGGCTGGTCATGTATAAAAAGCCACCAAGCAGTTAAAGCAAAACAATTAGACATATTTTACCAGTTACATAATTCTATATTCTAGTACAGTACATCTTCACTGTCCTCTATTTGTATGTGATGCCCTGTGGAAAATATCTCCTTTTCACTTTCTTCAGAATCCCAAAAAGGTGTCTTCAGAGAAAGTTTATTCAGGAGTGGCCTTGCCTCTCAGGCTTACCTTTTTGTTTAGATCTTTGACTAAAAACCACTGCAAATATTTACATTCTTTGGCAGTTCAAGGTTAACGGAGGTACTTTTGTCAGTTCCTATTTTATATCTGACCAATATTTTTTTCTGCATTTTTCCCCCAACATGAAAATATTTATTTTAGGAAGCTGGAAATATATTTCAAGGAAGCTGGAAATGGACATCTGCTGCTATAAATAAGTCCCAACATTTTTTCACACCATGTTTAATTGATATCTACAGAGATTAGAAGTATAAATAGCCACTGGGCAGTTTCAGGAAATCAGAAACCCCAGCTCCTTCTAAATTATCTGTTGACCATCACAGAGCTGTTCGAGATAACACAGAGGAAAAAAACAGATTGCACCATATCCTGATCCTCAGGTACGATGCATGCCCTGCACGTCCGCTTTTTTCATTTCAAAATCCCCATATGTGCAAGTTGGACAAGACTGAATAACTTGCATGGGAATTTCAATATGAAGATGGCCCACCTCTGCTCTAAAACTTGAGATCAGTTCATCACAACTTGATACACGAGTGGAAGAAACAGGGAGTCTTCACATAATCTCATTGGACTGCCCGGCTGTATGTGATAGATCGTTCCGCTTACATATTTCTGAGATACACCTAGACCTAATGTAGCATATATATTTCATCATATTGGTAATAATAATCATAGTGATATCTGAACTTGCTGCACCAATGAGAAGGATATCTTTGATAAAACTTTGTTTAAAATTTTTAAAGAAGAAAAGAAAAACATGTCATTCTTATATATTATTTTATTATATCTCACTAAAAAAAAAAAAAAAAAAAAATCATCTCTCTTTTGACACGCCTTTGCTGCATTCTCTACAGAAAGCTCAAGTGACAACAACACCATCATCATCATCACAACTGGCCAACACCCTAAAACACCTCCAGTAATTCACATTCCTCCTGAAAGGTGAGTGGAAACCTTACCCTGACAGACAGAGATTTGTTAACATTCAACGGGAAGTTTTTTTTTTTTTTTTTTTTTTGTGTGTGTAACAGCTCTCTGATTTAAAGAACCATTCTCCCTGGACTGGCACAGACACAGACACAACATGTGTGTGTCGAAGAATTTTTTGTCCAAATACAAGTACCTTGAAATAGTGCACATGTAAGTCAATCCATGCATTAGAAGAGTGACCTTCAGAAAAAAAAATGCAATTACAGCATCTTGTGCGCTAGTGTTACTGTTATGGAATTTTTCTGCATCAGTATGTGTTAAAAGACACAAATTCCATGCTGCTATAACTGATACCCTACCAAGGTCAATACCACGGAGTGTGTTAAAATAAGGGGTCGGATGATTTGTGTAAAAATTAATGACTTCGGTGACTTTTTAACATTTACTGACTTGAATATGTTTGAAAAAACTAAATTTCATTAACAGCAAAAAAAAAAAAAAAAAAAAAAAAAAAAAAAAAAAAAATCAAGACCACATACAGAGACATCTGATGGCAACAGATGGAAATGAAAATTTGTGAATGGTAAAATGTTAACAGTATTATTACAAATTATAAGTAATTGGATTATTTTGTAACCATAAAAATGCTACACTCTAGATGAAAATGAGAAATTACAGAGTAGCTTTTCCAGCTAGTTGTTCAAATGACCACTGAATTTGAAAGCAAAACTAAAACCATTTGTGTTCAGCTAGCCCTGAACTTGCCCCCCCCCCCTCTCTGAGTGTAAAGGAGGAATGTCAATCACACCCTTTCAACCTGAGAAGTAATAAATGGCGTACAATAGGAGCTCCTGCCACCACAGGAGATAACAAATGTCTTCTCTAAGATATCTGTGTGATAGGTTCTTCACCATTAGAGCACCGAGTCAAGTAACAGTGCCAGTGTTAGCTTTCTTTATTCAATCTCACTTTGAAACATTACAATGAATGGCTTGACAGATATAGGGAACAGTGTCAACTCCACTGATCTTCGCAATGGAATATCTTAATGTAAATTAATACTGTAACTTCTCACTTCCCCCTCCCAATACACTACAAAATAAATCAATAAATCAATAAATTAAAAAAAAAAACCTCATTTGCCCAGAGCAAAACTTGACACGAAATAAAACAGAACAAAGAAAAACAATACAAGGCAGAAAATTACTAAATAAGACCGGATGTTTCAAATTCACTGTAATGGCTAGAAACTGCTGACCACGCTCAATCCTGATACCCAATACTGGACATGGACGGTAACAAGAGACGTCCCAATGATCTCTCTAACTAATTCGAAAAGGAAGAGGTCAATTTCTAGTTTATCTGACACAATGGACATCAGATTTCAGGCGTGATGTGTCAGATGTGGAGAAAAGGACGAGATACAATAATTCAGTGGACAGACAATTATGTAATGGCCCACAGTTGCTGTAACCAGACCGACCCTCTAGATAATACGCATTCACAATGGTGGTTTCCTGATGCCTTGTAAATACAAGCACTTCAGACAGACAAATGTGAGACACCTCATATTAACAAATAAAAAGGTACAATGACAGCTGTGAATGGACATTTACAGAATGATTTTAAACAGAAAAGGGAGAGGTCAGAAGGCCAGTCTTGTTGGACAAGCTACATAAACCTGAAACTTCCCGTTACAGTAAAATAATATCATTTTGTAACTAGACGATGTTAAAATGTCAAAAGTTTTGCCACATGTTGGAACAAAGTGTTACAGCTGAGTCTGAGTCATGAATTTGTCATCAGATAATTATTTTTTTCTCTCCATCTTTCTTGTATTCCCAGAAGCACAGACAGTCACTTAAGTTTTATACTAGGCCTATACTGTAATGGAACATTTGTTTGAAAAACATGCTTACTTTTCTTTTAATAGATCCAGTGAAAATTTACAGTATCTTACACCATAAATGATGGATTCCCTGAAAAGAATATTGGTCTTTACTTGTAGACCAAAATGTTCATTAACTCTGACTCGAGCTAAAACAGAAGGAAGTCAGTCATGGTTCAGAGTGAATTTCAAACCAATTATTCCTCTATTTAAATTGAAATATTATGGATTTATCTTAAACTAAAGGAGGCCAATATCTTTTTTTTTCTTAATTAAAAAATTTAGACCAAATTCTGGTAATAAATGGCGTACAATGAAAGTCCCTTAATAAAAGCAGTTCCATGGTACCTTTAGTGTAACAAAAGAGGAATTTGAGAACAGAACGAAACCAAACCAACTGAAGAGTTATGAGAGATTTTCGGGAAAAGTGGGTCACTTTCCCCTTGTCCTCCACTGATGCTTCAGTGGTCACTTTGTCATGTGAAGTGAACCCCAGCTGACCAGCGCTATAAACACCTGTCTACAGCAGGTATATGATGGGCGCTCATCAAGAGCTGGTTACGCAAACCTGCCATTCCATTGGATGCAATATGATGTATGGATTTTGACTGCATGTGTGCACAAATCACGTGCAAAGGGGACGCACGCTATGACGAGGAGTGTAAAACCCAGTGGTCAAGCTTTACAGAGTTGAAACTTGAGAGATAAAGAACAAACCATCTGATTGCACCATTCAAGTTATATCAATTTCTAGATAGACAGAAAAGGGGAATAAAATAAATGGTAGTTAAAAGGTTGAAAAAATAACAATAAGGAAAGAAACAAACAACTTACTACTCTGTGATGAGAACCAGCTCATGTGATGTTTCGTACACTTCCTTCAAGTCTATAAGGCGTGGGTGTGCCAGCGCCATCTCTAGCATGACGACTTCGTGCAAAATCTCACTGCGTACATCCTTGCCTTTCCTCCGTTTACGTATATACTTGGCAGCGTATTCCTGGCCAGAGTGGTTGTCTCGTATTTTGCGTACCACAGCAAACTTGCCCCTGTAAAACAAACACAGAAATTGTAGAAACCTTGCCATAGCATTTAAAATCAAATTTTCAAAAAGTAATTTTTTAAAGCTTGTTTTTATGTTGTGGGTGGAAGCGTAATTTACATGTATTTTACTTTCTCCATGGTCCTCTTATTCTTGTATCATTAACTTTTGCCATATATGAACATTAAGTCTCCATAACTCTATCTATTTAATTCTTAATGTTTATATTTACTTTTTTATTTTGTTCCTTCATTTTTACCAAAACATAAGAGAAAGGAGTATAAACATACAAGCATACTAGTAAGTTGAAAATTAGACAACCCTACACCCTCATCTCCTTCTCGCTCCATCATTCAAGCTAGGGTAGACATTAGATAATCCTCAAACCTGTCAATCAAACTATAAGTAATAACCTTCCACCAGCGCGGTGAACTTTTACTTACAAGTCACTAAATATGGTGAATTTACTTTCTAAAGGAGATGGAAGGGTCAGTGAAATCTTTGAGCAGAGCAACTCAAGTAGGACAGATTACTTGCTTCAGGGTGGACAAATTTATGGTAGTTTTAGTACCATGTTGTGTTTAATGGTTGTGGCCAATGAATGCGTGCCGTACAAAAAAGTCTGTGTGTTCCAAAGGCACACACGTGCACATGTGAGTTTGATTGACCAGGTCATGCTCTTGCAACTTTTAGACAAAACCCACACTGGCCCACATATACACACACATGACATACATACCCAAATACATGCATACACACACCAGTGATACACTGAAAGACAAAACCCTTGGTTTCCACTCACAAATATGCCATGCCCCCCCCCCCCCCCCCCTTTCATCGTAAGACTATACACAGTGCAGACAAAATTACCCAGTCCTCAAATTTCCCAATAATAGTTTATCAAAACATCAGGAAGGAATTTTAATTCTCTCCCTACTCAGTCTCCTAACCACTTGTTAAGTGGGGAAAACCATCTTCAAATCCCAAACAATATAACCTTTATGAAATCATTAGTTGCAGTAATGGCCAGCCAAGGAATGCAAACTGTTCAGATTTCAGTCTAGTTTGGAAGAAATTACTGCTAATTTTGTCTGGACTTCAATAATGAACCATTCACTATTTCTATTTCAGCTCAGGGTCAAAAACCGCTTGAAGGAAAAAAAATTGCTACTGTAGAAAAATGAGGTCCGTTTACACATTATTTTTGATAAGAGATCCTGATAACCACTAGTAGTAAGGCCAAACAATAATTTTAAGTTGGGTAACAGTCAGACTATCTGTCCATAGAAGGGGGTGGGGATACAGCTGGGAGTAGGGTGGGATGGGTACCGTAGGTGCAAAGAACCACTTTTGGATAGAAAAGATTTATAACTCTGGATCAACATTTGATCTAGGTTCGCTGCCATTTCCTTCCACAACTGAATCACAATCAATTCTTTTTTGCAACTTGCAATTTATTTACTGTAGTAAGTTTCATATTACTATTTTATTCATAATAATCTCTTAAACTGGGAGAGAATAACACCTTAATGGTAAACAGGAAAAGAGAGAGAGAGAGAGAGAGAGAGAGAGAGAGAGAGAGAGGGAAAAGAAGATAAAAGACCTGAAAGTGTCAAATATTTTCAAATTTTAAGCGGTCATCCTCTCCCTGACCACCATAGCCCCAGGTGAGTAATGAGGAAAAACTGACCTGCCATACCAGAAGTCTAATAGGCAGAACGTATTATATCTTTTATTATATACCTATAATTGGCCATCTCGGTTTTCTTAACTGTTGGAGAAGTCCTGCCTTACCATGTCATTCTTGACCAATCACAATCAATAACAGGCACAAACGAAAAAAAAAAAAAAAAAGGTACAAATTCCCCATCTCTACTGGACACAATATAAACTAACAACCACATTCTTTATGAGGATGCTTTCCAAATTGCAATCTTCACATTCTTCAATAGTTCAATAGTGCACGGCTGAGGGGAGCCTCTTTTCAGACAATGCGTCTGATAAACAAACGTGACAATGTAAAACCTTAAGGTATCTGTGACATTGTGTCGCATATAGAAGAGGGGATCTTCATGCCATTCAAAAGTTCAATAACATTCTTATGGAGGTATTTTACAACAACAGCTCCAAACAATAAACAAAACCGTGTACAACCTGTCTTTACAAAATGTGACATAGCTGTTTAACTGGACTGGGGAGCTCATTTTCTTCATATCGATTGGCTTAACGACAAAAGAGAGAAAGAGAGAGGGGGGCACTTATTTCTGACAACATATTAGCTATTTTAAAAGCACCATGACAAATTTTACAGAAAGATGAGACTATTCCTGAGTTTGCCAAAGTTGGCTCAAGTGCTAAAATGACCACATTTAACATGTGTTGCCCCCTCTCCTGATAATACTTCAAAACCTGACCAGATCTTGAATCATCTGATAAACTGACCCCTCTCTTATGACATTCTTGCAGAGGTGGAAAATATTAAAATAATAATATTTATAAATAATAAAATGAATAATCTATACTAAAATATCTGAGATGCTTAGTAAATGAAATATGAGATAAGTTACCTTTACTATATCTGAGATGCTTAGTAAATGTAATATGAGATAAGTTACCTTTTACAATAATAATAAATACAAATGTGAGTCAAAACTTATATATAAATTACACATAAATATAAATCAGTCAAATTCACACCCAATGCACATTTCCCAATCACAGCTCTGTACAGATCTGTGTAATATGACTCAACAAAGTTACTGACGAAACAAACTCTGTCATCACCAAGGATCAAGCGCAGCTATAGAATAAAGTCACATAACAACGAACTAAAAATGTACTCCTGTATTGACTAAGTAACCAAAAATTTGACCCGTGACACGGTTGACTGCCTACTGACCGATTTCCTGAAATGGTCGATTGACTTTCATATATATTTGTTTGACTTTGAAATAAAAGCTAGCAAATACTGATATCTGATAGGCATAAACACTATATTCTACTGCTTTGACACCCCCCCCCCCTGGAGTTTGCTTGTAAACACAAATATTGCCAAAATATTTGGTCATTTTACCATTATGAATGTGAAAAATGTATGAAAAATTATTTATTCCAATGGGTTACTGGAGGGAAAGAAATAGAAGATCAATTAATGATGCAGTTGATTTTGAAAGATGTTATAGCTGAAGGTGGTGCTGAATCTACCTGCCTAACCATAAAATAAATAAATAAATAAATAAATAAATAAATAAACAAGCCATCAAAACTACCCTCAAATACAACAAAAACAAAGTTTTGTTAGGGAAGGAGGGGGGGGGGAGAGAGATAAGAGCATAAATATCTATCTGGAGGGAACCCATAGATTGAACAACGCATCACAGGAAACCACAGAGCAGATGTGACGCTAACTGTGACAGGACCTACGCCCCTCGCAGACAGCAACACAATGTCAATTAGAGAGTAACACCAGGCGTAATTGTCATAATTGTCACAGCTGATAGTTTTCAGAGCTGTCGAATAAACATGTGTTGCCACGGACTGCCTGGCTTGCAAACTGGACGCAATCTTGTCAGTTTAAATGATCATGTCATCCTAGCACAGTGGGATTTTTTTTCCTGTCTGATAACACTACCATCTAAATCATCTTGATTTTTTACCAAATTGCTACAAGATAAGGCAAACAAATCTCATTCATATTTGACGGGTTTTCCCCCAAATTTTGAAGTTGGAACAAACTATTTTTTAACAAAAGTTTTTCTTTCCTTTCATTATTTTTTCTGGTTAATTCTAAAGCCTGCCCATGTCACACTAAAAAAAGTAGCAAAACACCGCCTTAAAATTTGTCTCATAAGTTCACATAATACAAGTCATAAGAGGCATCAAGCGCACAATAACATCACTGCCAACACCCTCTGTGACGACAAAAGACCTTAAGAAACCACCACCCTCGCACGCATCCATGCTTGTGAAACACAAAAGAGATGCATCACGGAAAAAATTCCCCCAAATTGAAAAGTCTGTTTTTCAAGGACGTAACACTAGTAAGGTATCAATAGTTCTGACGCATACTGTGACTGATGGAAATAGAACTATTTATGATTCAGAATCAGGGGGAAAACTGATCTTTTTATAGATTTTATACTGACTCAAATAGGCATCAGCTCTATTTTGAATTCTAATGTAATCTCTGATAAATATTTTGTTTAAAAATAACGAAAATTGATTTGGTTTTAAGAATCTGGGTGCAAATCAAGTCATGCTGAAGATTCAAAGGATTTTTTTTTATTATTATTACACATACCTGCTACCACATTATGTTTTAAGTGTTAAATCTTTAAGAAAACAAATTAAATTGTTAGCTTTATGGCTAAAAATAACTGAGAACAGGTATGATAAAATGCCTCTTCATTAAAAAAAAAAAAGAAGAAAAAAAAAAAGAATCTACCTAGTGAAAATTTCCATCATTTTAAAGAACATGTCATGAATTATAATCTATGAAGACAAAAGTAAGTAATCATGTTATTATTTTCGTCATAATTATGCTGTGGCAAATGGTGTCCTATCAGAAGAAAACAAAAGTCACAAAGCTCAGAACACTGTTCTCACATGAATCCCAAATAACACGAGTTTCATTTAAAAACTACAAAACCAAACAAAACACACAGGCACGTGCTCAAACTAATCATCGAAAAATAATCTCTCGTGAAAAGAGACCTCGTCCTGTTACATAAATAATCTCCCACCTGCAAATGTATACAACCCCCTATGATGATGTCTTAATGTGCAAACTAATAAACCTGCTCTCTACAATGACAAATTATGCTTCAGCATGACTGACAATACATTGGCACTGATGGAGATTACAAACAAAAACAAATACAATAACAGCACCACCGGTGACAACTAAACAAACTCTCCTTCCCCAGGTGTCAGAAACCTAACTTCATTGTGAAATTTACTGCCTTCAATTAGGCAGCCTCAGCTTTGACAAAGACACCATAATTCTAG